TTGAAACTTTTAAAGTACCTACCTATATTATTATATTTTAAAACTTAAACTCACGATGGTATTTTCAAATCTCGTATTTTTGGGAATACATTACTTAAATAACAGTAATATCATAAAATATACGTACCTAGTAATATATTAATAATATATAGGATAGAATCGCTTTTCGTATACATAATGTTTTTATATCATTGAATTCGAATTTAACACATCCATTATAGTGATCCATATGACACTTATACATATACAACAGAGTCTCACCCAMTTAACCACCTTTTWTWAAAGTTTAATCACACATTTKTTTCTTATTATTATTATTGATATGGTAAATGAATAATTTAGTAATAATCTGTGGCTATTATTACTTAATACAACTGATTATAATTTTTAATTAGAAAAATCACAGTTCATAAATATAACAATATACTTAGGACTCAGGAACAGTATTTGAATAATAAATATGTAATGATTATAAGTATTATTCAAAATAATAAAGTAAATAGTAATTATTGTATAACATAATATAGGATCTCAGTATTTTTTTTATGCCAAAAATATATTTAAATCGCAGTATTTTTATATTTTTGATACTATCAAATACCCGTACTAAAACGTTATTTTTAATTAAATTATTTTATTTCAAAAATAACTGCTTTCACTATTCACTAATATGCAAAAACTAAAATCAACATTATACGTTTTACATTTTACATTAATATAATAAATTGTAATAAACACGTTTAAAGTATCACTGAGTAATCTGGCAATTTCTTTTAACTAATTGATTGCCAAAAGAACATTAAACGTAATTTTTTTCATCTCATACTTTTTTCTTTTTCCTAAAGATCGTTATTATTTTCTAGGTTACTACAGTGTAACTATTTAACTGTTTGGAGCTGACRACTTGCGAGTCCTTTGACGAGGTCCTGACGAGAACCTTTATAGGGGACAGTAATGACATCATTTTTTTTTACTAGGTATTCTGCAATAATTTCTTAATCTCTTAAAGAGATAAAAAAATAAAGTTGAATTCACATATAGACATGAATCACAAATTTGAAAAAAGCTTTGATAATTTGTTATAATACGAATATATTACACATATTATAATGATATATAATTTATAGAAATAAATGTTCAAAAAATATATATTTTGCACATAAAAYTAAACTTATTTAATCAGATAAAAGGACTGGTGCTTATAATAAGTAAATGTTTATGGTTTTGAAAATGTTATATAATAATTCATGTATAGTTTAAAGCATTTAAATTATTTAATATTTG